AGCTATGATGCCACAGCACTCTACCCAGGGGGACAGCTTGAGGCTCTGTCTAAAAAAAAAAAAAAAAAGATTACAGACTCCTGCCTGTAGTCCCAGCTATTCAGGAGGGTAATGTGGGAGGATTGCCCAGGAGCTTGAGTACAGCCTGGGCAAAGTAGGTAGACTCTGTCTTAAAAAAAAAAAAATTGCAAAGTAAAGATTCTCTTGTAATATTCTCCTTCTAAAACAACTGTCTACATTTCATGTATTTATTTTCAGATTTTCCCAAGTTATGTAGATGTATATATGGCATAAATGGAATCATAGTATATTTTGCTGTTCTGCCTCCTGTTCCTTTCACCCAATAATATAACATGCTTATCTTTTCATGTTATTATATAAAGACACAAATATATTTGGTCTTTACTCGTGCTGTGTTATTTTGCATTTTTCACTTATATGCATTCCTGCTTATTTTTTCTTTCTTGATTTTTGCTGGATTGATGGCTTTCTTTGGTTTGTTTTTCCTCCAGGGGTTTGGAAGTTATGTAACCTAATTCTAACCTATCCAAGTGAGAGGCAGTACAACATAGTGGTGAAGAGGGCTGTGGTTCTCAGCACATTTCTTGGGTTCAGACCTCAACTTTTACATTTGTGAACTTAGTGTCTTTGGACAAGTTACTTAACACTTCCATCTCTCAGTTCTTATGAGTTAGACTGGAATAATAATAGTACCTACCTCTTCCTGGTAGGGTTAATTGTAAGGATTATTATAGACAAAGCCTTTTAAATACTGCCAGTCAGGTTTGTAGTAAATACTTGATAAACGTTAGCTAAAATTAGCTTCAGTAATAGTGTTATTATCCTTATACAAGGTGTCCATAAAGTTCATTTGCAACGAATTTTATGGACACCCTGGTTTTTTTTGTTTTGGGTTTTTTTTTTTTTTTTTTTTTTTTTGAGACAGAGTCTCACTATGTCACCCTGGGTAGAGTGCTCTGGCGTCACAGCTCACAGCAACCTCAAACTTCTGGGCTCAAGTGTTCTCTTGCCTCAGCCTTCCAAGTAGCTGTGACTATAGGCATCCACCACAATGCCTGGCTTTTTTTTTGGTTGTAGTTCTCATTTTTGTTTGGCAGCCCCAAGCTGGATTTGAACCCGCCAGCTCCAATGTATGTGGCTGGCGCCTTAGCCTCTGAGCTACAGGAGCCGAGCCAACACCCTGTATTTTTAATAAAACATATTGAACTTAATGTCAGCATAAGAAACCTACTGAGGGCTGGGTGCAGTGGCTCACACCTGTAATCCTAGCATTTGGGAGGCCAAGGCAGGTAGATTGTCTGAGCTCACCAGTTCAAGACCAACCTGAGCCAGAGTGAGATCTTGTCTCTAAAAATAGCCAGGCATGTGGCAGGAGCCTGTAGTCCCAGCTACTTGGGAGGCTGAGGCAAGAGAATCACTTAAGCCCAAGAATTTGAGGTTGCTGTGAGCTGTGACACAACAGCACTCTACCCAGGGTGACAGCTTGAGACTTTGTCTCAAAAATAAAAAAAGTTTTTTAAGACTACATAAAGTTAATTAGCTCCAACTTGCCTACCACTGTTCTTTTTGTATGATGGTTGTTGCTATTTATTTGTTTTTGTTTTTGAGACAGAGTCTTACTATAAGAGTGATATGGCGTTATAGCCCACAGCAACCTCAAATTACAGGCGCCCATCACAACACCAGTTTTTTTTGTTGTTGTTGTTGGAGTTCTTCATTGTTGTTCAGCTGGCCCAGGCCGGATTCACAGTGGTTAGGCTGGCGCTGTAACCACTGTGCTATGGGCGCCAAGCTGATGGTTACCTTTTATAGTCCTTTATTCTAATTTATTTTTTATTTGACTGGAAAACATTCTCTAGGGTTTATCAGAACTAGTATATATACAAAGTATACTCATTTAGACTTTGTGCTTCTGAAACTGCCTTTCTTTTGCTCTAATACATAAAGGGAATTCTTTAGAATGCCACAAATTTTGCTGTAATGCCGTTTAGTCTTTAATGTTGTAGTTAGATATCTGATGTCAGTCTGGTTCTTTTTCCTTTGTAGATATCTTATTTTTCTTGGCTCAAAGCTATAAAATTTTTTTTTTTCTTTAGAAGTCAGAAATTTCACCAGCATATGTCTACGTATGTGGGTTTTTTTTCAATATTTTCTGACCTGCAGTGGGACTTTGAAGTTTCAACTATTTTTAGCACAGGGACTTTTTTTCTTCCATTATTTCTTTAATTATTATTTCCTACATACACTCTAGTCTCTCATACTGGATACTGGATATTTTTTGGATCATTTCCTCTATACCTTTTCTTTTCTTTTCTTTTCTTTTTTTTTTTTTTTTGAGACAGCGTCTCAAGCTGTCACCCTGGGTAGCGTGCTGTGCTGTCACAGCTCCCAGCAATCTCAAACTCTTGGGCTTAAGTGATTTTCTTGCCTCACTTCCCAAGTTGCTGGGACTACAGGTGCCCACCACAATGCCTGGCCATTTTTTTTTTTTTGTAGTTGTCATTGTTATTTGGGAGGCCCGGGCTGGATTCGAACTCACCAGGTCCTGTATATGTGGTTGGTGCCCTAGCTGCTTGAGCTACAGGCACCGAGCCTGTACCTTTTCTTTTTTAATTTCAGTTTCTTTGTTTTTCTACTCTATATTCTGAATGAAGTCCTCAACATGCTCTTTAAATTTACCATTTCAGTTTTTATCATTGTTCATTCCACTGTTCCTTAAGTGTTGAATTTGACTACATTTTTTTTATTTCCAAGTGTGCTTTCTTCTATGTACTACTTTTGTAGCAGTTTCTCTTACTTTATCAAGGCAATATCATTTCAAACTCCTCTGAACTTTCACTGAGATTATTAGAATTGTTTTAAAAAGTTTTATATCCTTTTTTGCCTTGACTTTATCTTGTTGAGGACTGCTTGGTCTTATTTAAACCTCCTGCTTATAACACCTACTAATTTTCCATTCACTGTCTTCACATACAATGAAAGTCTAGACTAGTTTAAATTGGTAATTTGTATTCTCTCATGGTTGTAGGTCAGTGGTTATGTATTCCCATGTGAGGCTGGGCATGGTGGCTCACGCCTATAATCCTAGCACTCTGGGAGGCTAAGGAGGGTGGATTACTTGAGCTCAGGAGTTCAACACCAGCCTGAGCAAGAACAAGACCCTGTCTTTACTAAAAATAGAAAAACTAGGAGGATGTAGTGGTGCACACCTGTACTCGCAGCTCCTTGGGAAGCCGAGACAAGAGGATTATTCAAGCACAAGAGTTTGAGGTTGCTATGAGGATGCCATGGCACTCCACCCAGGGCAGCAGAGTAAGACTCTGCCTCAAAGGAAAAAAAAGAAAAAAGATATTCCCATGTGAGCCTCACTCTTTCACAGCTTTGGTTCCTTATGCCAAGAGAAAAATCAGGGTCCTTTTGGTAGAGGCCTACTTCATGTATATAGCATGCAGGTGAGGCTACCTACTCTGTTTTGGGGTTTGGAGAGAGTTCTCAAATCTTTTCATATTTTATTATTTGAAATCTCTCCAGGTGATTCCTCTGTAAGTGGGCCAAAAAAGAAAAACGTCCGTATGTGGCCAATTGCTTTCCTTTTTGCCCCTGCTTGGCTTGAATTTTACCTTACAGCCTTCTCACCCCTGGTAGGTCAATCTCACTATGAAATTTCAGTTCTATTTCTGATAATATATCTGTTAAGAAAGTTTCAAGTACTACTTTTTTTTCAGGATAAGAATTCAAATGAATGTTGCTTGTGGAGTAGGGTTCCTTTTGCCATTTCTCATTTACTTATGCATTCAACAAATATACTGTCCAGGTGCAGTGACTCACACCTATAATCATAGCACTCAGTGGGAGGCTGAGCCATGTGGATTGCCTGAGCTCACAGGTTTGAGACCAGCCTGAGCAAGAGCGAGACTCCGTCTCTGAAAAAATAGCCAGGTGTTGTGGCAGGTGCCTGTAGTCCCATCAACTCAGGAGGTTGAGACAAGAGGATTCACTTGAACTCAAGAGTCTGAGGTTGCTGTGAGCTATGATACTACAGCACTCTACCGAAGGTGACAAAGTAAAACGCTGTCCTTTTTTTTTTGGTCGAGACAGAGTTCTACCCTATTCTCTGAGCAGAGTGCAATGACATTGTAGCTCACTGCAACCTCAGACTCATGATGCGGGCATCCTGCTGCCTCAGCCTCCGAAGCCGCTGCACCACGGCCCCCGGCTGGGTTTTTCCATTTTTTTTCCCATGAGTCAGGGTCTCACTTTCGCTCAGACAAGCCTCGAACTCCTGAGCTCAAGAAATCCTCCCGCTTCAGCCTCCCACAGTGCTGGGATTACAGGCGCCTGGCTTAAAACTCTGTCTTTAAAAAAAAAAAAAAAAGAGTCTTAGCGCCTGTGGCTCAAGTGGCTAAGGCGCCAGCCACATACACCTAAGGTGGCAGGTTCGAATCCCCAGCCTGGGCCCGCCAAACAACAATGATGGCTGCAACCAAAAATGGCCAGGCGTTGTGGTGGGCGCCCGTAGTCTCAGCTACTTGGGAGGCGGAGGCAGGAGACTCGCTTGAGCCCAGGAGTTGGAGGTTGCTGTGAGCATGATGCCATGGCACTCTACCCAGGGTGATAGCTTGAGGCTCCGTCTCAAAAAAAAAAAAGAAACCAAATATACTGAATCCTGCCTGCACTAGGAAATACATGATGTAGAATACAAAGTCTCTACTCTTATGGAGCTTACATTTTGGTAGAAAGACTAAACTAGGCTATTAAGAATCTTGAGATTGGCTTGGCACCTGTAGCATAGTGATTATGGTGCTGGCTACATGCACTGAGGCTAGTGGGTTTGAACCCAGCCCAAGCCAGCTAAAACAACAATGACAACTGCAATAACAAAAAAATAGCTCGGTGTTGTTGGTGGACACCTATAGTCCCAGCTACTTGGGAGGCTGAGGCAAGAAAATCACTTAAGCCCAAGAGTTTGAGGTTGCTGTGAGCTGTCACAGCACAGCACTCTACCCAGGGCAACATAGTGAGACTCTGTTTCAAAAAATAAAATAAAATAAAAAAAGAAACTTGAGATTATTCTCTTATACATTTTATATAAGGAAAGAGTACTTGTCTGTTTTTTCTTGACTGGAACTTTACTCCTCCAGTAAATAATATATCCATAAAAATAAATGAGAAGTTTCATGCAGGAATTACATACAAGTAAAAGAAAATGCACGCAGATTAAAGATTAGTAAATTGTATTGGCCTAGTATCTTACCTGGATTATTTAGGTATGCAGTAAGTTTTTACTGAAATGAAAACTTACTTTGACTACTACCTTACTTTGTGAGGGCAAATAAACCAACAGAGAGAGGAAGGAACATCATCTGTATTTGTGGGCAAAGTATCATAGAAATATATTGGGTTTTAATTTAGTAACAAATCTTTCCCCCTTTTGCATGAGGATTTGGCTTTGATTAACATTCTGGGTCTGCTCACTGGTCCTGATAATGTCAACTATATTAGTAGACTGTACTACTATAGAGATAATGATCTCTGGGTAAATTCTGTCTACATGGAAGGAAATACAAGTGAATTGCAGTTTCCACATGCAGATTCCATAGGTCTGGGCTTCATTGAGTGCAGTGAATCTTACAACTGCACATACCCAGTGTGAGGTCCCTACAGGCTATGCCTATGGAGTTGTTTCAAGAGATATTAGCCCCTGTGGAGCCTGAGGCTGCAGAATATGGATCTCATTTCCTCACACTCCTGTCACCTGCTGGATCAGAGCTCCCAAACTACTTCAAGAGTTCCTACAGAAGAACTTGACACTGCACTGCCTCTAAGCTGTGCTCCTGTCTGATATCCTTAGTGAGTCTTTGATTTTGAATATTTGTTGAGCTTAATACTACAGTGATTTAATCAGGTCTTGGGATCCTGATGTATATTTCCCCCAGGTCCATTAGGAGTTCTCTATTTCTTTTAGAGACCATTTTTTAAAGTTTTATAGATTTAGGGGTTATAAGTGTAGTTTTGTTACATGGATACACGTATATTACCTACTGGAGAAGTATGGATTTTGGTGTAACCATCACCTGAGAGGTGTATATAGTACACGTTATTAGGTTAATTTCTCATCCCACACTCTCCTCCACCCTTTAGCCTTCCCAGTCTCCAAAGTTTATTACCGCAGCCCTTATAAAGATCATTTTTATAATATAAGTTGCTCCTTCTCTTTTCACATAGGCTCAGCTTTTTAGGACTTTGGTCCTCCCTCCCCAGTTTGCGGATTTCATAAGCAAATTGCTTATTATTTATTTTGCATTTCCTTTCTACAGAGTTGACCCTTTATTTGGGATGTGTGAAAAATTTTTACAGGAAGTAGACTTTTTTCAGAGGTAAGTACTTCATTTTGGCTCATTGAATCTTGGTTTTGCAGAGAATAGCACTTACAGGAAATAAGAGCAAGTCAGATTCCTTGATTTAGCCCATGCAACCGAACTATCCTCTGTGTCATGCCCCAACTTGGTGTCTTTTAATGGCATGTAAATGTCTTTTAATTCAAAATTAACCATACAACCAAATAATAAAAACACTGGGAGTTGGCAGTGCCTGTAGCTCAGTGGGTAGGGCACTGGCCATATACACCTAGGTTGGCAGGTTTGAACCCGGCCTGGGCCAGCTAAAACAGCAATGACAACTGCAGCAACAACAGAAAAATAGCTGGGTGTTGTAGTGGGTGCCTACAGTCCCAGCTACTTGGGAGGCTGAGGCAAGAGAATCGCTTAAGCCCAAGAGTTTGAGGTTGCTGTGAGCTGTGACACCATGGCAGTCTACCCAGGGCAATAGCTTGAGACTTTGTCTCAAAAAAAAAAAAACAAAACAAAACATTGGGAGTCATTTGGATTCAGCACTCAGCCTGGCCATAAAATGGCAAGTATTATAAAGAAAACTCATAAACTCTTTTGTTGAAAAAAAAAGTTCCCATTGGTCTTAAATTTTAACATTTCTCTATGATCTACAAAGAACTCCAAGAATTTTTCTGCAATTCTTTAGGTAAGTTTACTTTGTAGAATAGATATATTTCCTCAGAGTTGTGTATGAAGTGAATTGGTTAAAACAGATGCAGGAGATGAATGGACGGCTTAATAGATAAAACAGAGTCACGGTGGTAACCAGACCTGTGGGGTATTAGCAGTATAATACTGGGAGGAAAACATTTATAGGATTGTAAAGCATTTGAATAAGTTTAATATTTCTTCTTCCTAGGATTTTTTTGTTTGTTTTATTTTTTGTTGTTTTTTGGATTTTTTTTTTTTTTTTTGAGAGAGAGCCTCAAGCTCTTACCCTGGGTAGAGTACTGTGACATCACAGCTCACAGCAACCTCCAACTCCTGGGCTCAAGCGAGTCTCCTGCCTCTGCCTCCCAAGTAGCTGGGACTACAGGCACCCGTCACAACACCCAGCTATTTTTTGGTTGCAGCCGTCATTGTTGTTTGGTGGCCTGGGCTGGATTCGAACCTGCCATATTAGGTTTATGTGGCTGGCACCTTAGTTGCTTGAGCCATAGGCACTGAGGCTGGATTTTTTTTTTTTTAAACAAGAAGCATAACCTTTAATTCATCACAAAATAGGTGAAGAATATCTCAGAGTTTTGAACACTAAATTTTACTTGTGATAATTTGTTTTTTGTTTTTGTTTTTTTGAAGCAGAGGCTCACTATATTGCCCTGGGTAGAGTGCTATGGCGTCACAGCTCACAGTAATCTCAAACTCTTAGGGTTAAGTGATTCTCTTGCCTCAGCCTCCCAAGTAGCTGGTACTACAGGTGCCTACCACAATGCCTGGCTATTTTTTGGTTGTAGTTGCTGTTTGGCAGGCCCAGGCTGGATTTGAACCCACCACCTCTGGTGTACGTGGCTGGCACCCTAGCCACTGAGCTACAGGCACTGAGCCAATAATTTGTTTTTTATCTCAGCAATTTATTCAGATATGTGCTGTAAAAATACACATTAGGAAACCTGCAATTGCTATGTTCTATTTAATATTAGAAATTCTGTTTTTCATGGTAATACATTAACTTTTTATAATTAAAAGGGAAAAATCATAAAGTTCATACTTTATTGTTTAGCCTGATAGAATAAATGCATTATATATTTATATCTGTCTTCCCAAACCAGTATACCTAGAAGTTTCTAATTTATGCACTCCATTTTTTAAAGGAAAAAGCTATCCATCTTCCAGTATCCACACTGGAAGATAGGAGCCTGGGGTTTTTAGGATGCACTTAGTGAGTGTAGTAATGAGTGGACTTACTTCTCACTCATTTTTATTTAGGCGCTGATAGCTTCCTACAGAGAAGATGCAGTACCACCTCATCAGCAGAGGATGCTCTCTAGCAGATGCTACAGTCCATGTTGGCTTTCTTTTCTTTCTTTCTTTTCTTTTTTTTTTTTTTTTTGTTGAGATAGAGTCTCATTCTGTTGTCCAGGCTAAAGTACCATGGTATTAACCTAGCTCCTGGGTTTAAGCAGTCTTTCTGCCTCAGCTTCCCAAGTCGCTGGGACTACAAGTGCCCACCACAATGCCTGGCTAATTTTCCTATTTTTAGTAGTGACAGGGTCTTGTTCTTGCTCAGTCTGGTCTCAAACTCCTGAGCTCACATGATCCTCCTTCCTCAGCCTCCCAGAGTACAAGGATCAGCTCTTTAAAATCCTAGTTTCATCTTTGAAGAAGTTCTTGCCTTACATTAGGTTCTTTAAGGTGTAGGGAGTGGAGTCTGTTTTTTGCGTAATTGAGTTGAAGAGGTTTTCAGAAACATGATAGCTCTGAATTGCCAAAATTGCTTCTCTATTGTTAACTGGAGCTACATATTCCTTCTTAGTTTAGCCTTAGTGAATTGTTTTTGACCATCCCATTCCACAAGTCAGAAGCACTGTTGAATCAGTTGGAGCTGGGAATAACTTAGCTTTTCTGAGCTTCAGTACAACATCATCCTCTCAGTCTCAGTGTTCCCATCACTTATTCAAGTTTATATTCATAAACTCCACTGAAACAGACATTTTCTTCTCTTTTGCTTATTGTATGTCCCAGTATCTAGAATAGTACTTGGCACTTGGTAGGCCCTATAAGCATATTTTTAAATTAATTAACAAATCTGTAATATAAAAAAAAATTCTGGGAATGGTGGCTTACATCTATTACCTTAGCACTTTGGGAGGTGCAGCTGAGAGGATTGTTTGAGGTCAGGAGTTCCCAATCAGCCTTGGAAATACTGATACCCCCATCCCTACAAAAAATTAAAAAGTTAGCTAGGGATGATGGTGTGCACCTATTGTCACTTGGGAGGCTGAGGCAGGAGAAGCACCAGAACCCCGGTGTTTGGGGTTGCTGTGAGTTATGATGATGCCTTGGCACTTTGTGTCAGGTAACAGAGTGAGACCCTGTCTCACATTAAAAAAAAAATTCTAACAGTGTAGAGGATTGATTGAAGTATTAAGTAAGATCATGTAAAACGCTTAAGAGTATTCCTGACACATAATGGTTGCTCAGTAAACAGAGGCTCTTATGATGGTCATATCACTAAGGGGAACTTATTTGGTAGCCGTCTGTCTCAGTCATGAACTGTGAGCTCCTCCCAGCTCACTCATCACTCCTGCTCCAGTGCTGGACAGACATCTGGGGCTTGGCCTGTGGTGACTGAATGTATAGCCACTTGCTTCTGTTTGTTCCCCCAGGTGTTTCATCGCAGATCTGCCCCACTTGCAGGATAGCTTTGTGGACAAACTTCTTGACCTCATGCCCCGACTCATGACATCCAAACCTGCAGAAGTTGTCAAAATTCTGCAGACCATGCTGCGACAGAGTATCTTCCTGAACCTCCCCCTTCCAGAGCAGGTCAGGGTCTGTAGCCTGCAGTCCAGATCTATCCAAATAGTCAAAAGTGTCCACCTAGGTGATCTTCTTTGACCAGTGGAGCAGCTGGTCAGGGCTCTTCCTCTGCTTGGCTCCACATGCTCACCCCTTAGATGAGGAGACAGAGGGGCAAGAATCATGTTTGTTGCCTGGGGATGACCTGCCTTTAAAGCCTTTAGAATCATGCTGTTTTCTTACTTACAGATCCACAAAGCTTCGGCTACCATCATTGAGCCAGCGGGAGAGTCAGACAACCCTTCACGGTTCACATCTGGTTTGGTGGTGGCCCTGGATGTTGATGCGACCCTAGAACATGTGCAGGATCCTCAGAACACTGTGAAGGTCCAGGTCTGTCAAGCTGGGGTTCCTGTGAAGCAGACTGTCCTTGTATTGAAGTATTTAACTTTAGTACTTCTATAGTCTCTACTTGAGGGATGGAATCTGGAACGGGAGAAGAGATGAGCCTCTATGGAAAAGAGTCTAGGCTAGAATCCTAACTATTACTGCTGAGTGTGGTCTGGAGCAAGTTACTTAAGAGTCTACAACTGACAGACAGTAGTTGACATTGAAATGACATCATGTATATAAAGTCTCCAGTATCTAGTAAGGGTTCACTAAATGACAAGACCCTTTCAGTAATTTGAGGTTATAATTCGGTCTTTTATTATAGCAAATTATAATAAGCAAAGTCTTTTCAGGATGTGGCTATATCAGCCAACAAATCAAATTTATGGGTAGGAAGAAAGTGATCACTAGGTAATATCTTTTCCCAAGTTAGGTAGATATGTTAGAAACACATGAGAGATGCAGTTCAGACAGCCTGCACTGGGAGTGCTGCCCGCTTGCCCTTCCTGTCGCTCTTCCATGCATAGTGCTTGCTTCATGGCACCTGCTAGTGCTGGGTTTGACCGGCTGGGTAAATGAGTCACAGTTCTCTCTCTCAAGATGCCCACAGTTTTACCAAGAGACAAATGGACAGGCAGTTAAAAAACAAAAGATCAGTGATTAGACATGCACGGGGTATTAAGAGTACTGTGCTATGGAGAGGCACTTAATTTAGAGAGTGTAGTAGAGCCTGAGGAAAGGCCAGGCTTTGTGGAGAGGCCTGTGCATGGGTGGGACCTGAAAGGATGAATAAGAGCACAGAAGGGCAAAATGAGGTATTCTAGGCAGGTCACAAGTAAAAGCAGGGATGCAAGCTCTTGGAGAAAGTATGATCAGAGGACAAAAAAATAGTCTGGAGGAGGCAGGGAAGGCTTCCTGAAGGACATAAAGATGAATCAGGTCCTGAAGGTGAGTTTGGCTATGGTATCAGTAGAAGAACAAGCCTTCTGATGTCCCAGCAGGAAATATTATAAATTAGGAGACCTGCAGTGAACTGGTTGTCAGCTCGCTGTGAAGTTGTATTGCGATGCTTTTTTTTCCACATTAGTAGTTCTCCATTCTAGCTGCACTTTAGAATCACTCAGAAAGCATTAAAAACTACTGATAGAGGCTACATGCAATGGCTCACGCCTGTGATCTAGGAGGCCAAGACAGGAAGATTGCTTAAGCTCAGGAATTCGCAGCTCAGAGCCTGTGGCTCAGGCAGCTAAGGTGCCAACCATATACACCTGAGCTGGTGGGTTTGAATCCAGCCTGGACCCGCCAAACAACAATGATGGCTGCAACCAAAAAGTAGCCAGACGTTGTGGCGGGCACCTGTAGTCCTGGCTACTTGGGAGGCAGAGGCAGGAGAATTGCTTGAGCCCAGGAGTTGGAGGTTGCTGTGAGCTGTGATGCCAAGGCACTCTAGCCAGGGTGACAGCTTGAGGCTCTGTCTCAAAGAAAAAAGCTCAGGAGTTTGAGACCAGCCTGAGCAAGAGTGAGACCTCATCTCTATTAAAAATGGGAAAGTTGGCTCGGCGCCTGTGGCTCAAGCGGCTAAGGCGCCAGCCACATATACCTAAGGTGGCAGGTTCGAATCCCCAGGCCCAGGCCCGCCAAACAACAATGATGGCTGCAACC